ATGTAGTATGTCAGCAGGCTCTCAATGGACGAATGGTAGAAGGTCAGCAACAGGTTGAAGTTCAGTTTGTTCTTTCTGAGGACCCTCAGGAGAAGGCCCCTGTTGGGTCTTCGTGATGACCACTGTAATGTTGTCTGTCCAGGAGATGTCAGAGGAGATGAGGACACCAAGGAACCCGAAGGTGCGGACCCTCTCCACACACTCCCCGTTGATGTATAAGGAGGCTAAGTCAGTGCTGTGCCCCCTGAAGTTGACAATGACCTCGGGTTTTCTTGGTGTTCAGTGCCAGGTTGTTCTCTGAACACCATGCTGTCAAATTCAGGACTTCCTCTCTGTAGGCTGCCTCGTCTCCGTTTGAGATGAGTCTGACTACCATGGTGTCATCAGCAAACTTGATGATGAGATTGTTGTTGTGGGTCAAACAGGACGTACAAACTAAACAAAAGGAGTACCGAGACTGAGAGCCGTAAACCACTGCAACAGTGTGCGCCGCCATCTTGAACATGACCTTCCTTTTATGAAGGAAACAGAGATCTGTATGTGCTGTGTACCTTTTATGTTTGTATTGTTTAATTTTAGTATCTTTCTCCCTGAGTTATTTAATTCATGTGAATTCTACATCAGGAGCTAAAGTCTAGTAAGCAGTTTTGATCTTCTTATCATTCTTTAACCTGTTTATTTTGTTTTTAGTATCAGGGGCTTTATATGATCTGTGAGATACAGGGGATACAGATACAGAGTTCAGAAAAAGTGAGTTATTGAGGTCAAAGACAATATTGTAATTGTTTAAATGTTTGATTTTGTCTTCATAGATCAAAAATTTCCAACAGATAAGCGTGGGCTGCCCTCCTGTGGTTTAGTTTGTTTGTCGAATTAGGACTGCATTTTTTCCACTCAGTATTTTACTCATGTGCATGGTTTTTGATAAAAGTAATACATAAAAAAAAATATCAAACTTTGTATTGTATTAATTTTTAGTTTTGTTGTAATCAATTGTGCTGCAGAAAAAAAGATTAATTTGTCTCAAACACAAATACAATCTGTAGTTTGTGTAGAAACATGTAAATAAATGAATTTTGGTAACATATTATTGCTCAGTAATAACATGGCAGAATCAGGACTAGGGATGGGTACCGGTATCCGGTGCCATGATGGCACCGGTTCTGACATAAACGGTAGTAACCAGACCGAAAAGCAGCGCATATTTCGGTGCTTTTTTTTTCCTGAGCTGTGATACACTTTAGATTCTAGCCAATCATTTTACGTTTCCGAGGATAGTAGGCGGGCCCAGGTACGTGCGTTCTGTTAGAGCAGAGCTACAGATTAAAAATGCCCAAGGCGAAGCGGTCAAAAGTCTGGCTGTACTTCACAGCAAAATATGCAAACTCAGCAGCAACAAGTGCTTTAAGCTGATACTGTGATACTGTCAAAGGAGGTAACACCTCAAATCCGATGAAACACCTGGCGACGCATAGCGTTTTTTTTTAAAAGATATGCGCCGTATTTGATAGCTTGCTGCGAGACCTCACACTGTGCACATCTACTGCGGGTGTGGTGCCTGTTATCGGACCCGGAGTTAGCAACATCCCCCAAAAACACGAAGAGGAGAGTCCTGGCCCCTAGCCCTGCCAGTGTAGCAGAAATAATGACGGATGACGATGGCAGCAGCAGCCGTTCTTCTCTGCGTGAGTACCTTAATGTTGTTCGTGTGTAATTTACGTTGAGTAGGCTAACCACGTTATTACATGAATGCATGTAAGGTGAACTAGCAAACATCATCATAGCTACATGCGGCTGTCTTCTTGTTTGATGGCAGATGCTCCCTTCACCCTGGCCAAAAAGGCTAAAATGACCAAAGAAAAAGTGGAAAACAGTTAAACATGAGAGGTTTTTGGACAAAGTTTGTGTTTTTACCATTGATTAAGCACTGCTTCCAGCCAAGAGTGATACCATATATGCCCCATAGCTGCAGAAAAGGCTAACATTGTTATCTTTTTACAAAAAAACAGCTGAACATGAGAGGTTTTTGACCAATTTTGTGTTCTCCATTCTTTAAGCACCAGTTTGAGCACCGTTTAAGCACCGGCATCGGATAAAACCTTAACGATACCCAGCCCTAATCAGGACAATAATGTGGAAATAAAGAGGTAAAGATGGATGATTGTGCAATTTCCAAAAATAATAACAGAGCAATAGCTTGAAATCAACTGTATTTAGTAACATTAGATTAATGCTTATGTAATGATGTATAAAGGGAGCAGAAACTACGGTTAATAAAGTGGAAACAAATATGAAGATGCTATGAACAAATTAGAAGTGAACAGTGCTCTCCAGGTGACAAACTATGCAGCATCATAACATGATTAAAGGATGCTTCTTCCATCTCCTCACCATGTTCTTCATTTGCATTTACATGCAGGGCTGTACTGATAATCTGGCATATTGGGCATGTTTCTGATGGGCCGACCTGAAGGGCCACTGGGAACCGCCCCTTCCTCAAACAATGCTGTGCGCTCATGCGGCTTGTAAAAAGAAAAAGTTTGGTGTGGAAGAAGTGGTGAAAACATGCTTCTGGGGCTTCTGCACCGTGAAGCCATCAACAAGAGTAACCAGGCCTCACTGCCACAGGCAGCTGCTACTACTAGAACCAGCTGTGGAGAAGTGAGAAAGATATGGAGGAAGGTGAAATTATTGTGGTTAGAAATTAGATGGAGGGACATAATTAGGAAGGGAGTGTCACTGTGACCCAAATGCAGGACTCTGAGGCGGAGTATTTAACATAATAATAATAATAATAACAATAATAATAATAATTCAAAAGACAAAACACTGGGTCACTGACCCAGGACCGCAACAGAGAGATTCAAGGATTCAGGTAAAATGAATGGATACTTTGACAATGACCAGTGCTAATAGCTAAGGCTTTTAATTGTCACATGCCACAGGGCAACTAAGAACTAACCCAACAGCAGTTGTACCAACCTGATTAAAATATCAATAATCAAACATAATCAAATGTATACATAATAATAATAATAATGGATTGGATTTATATAGCGCTTTTCAAGGCACCCAAAGCGCTTTACAATGCCACTATTCATTCACTCTCACATTCACACACTGGTGGATATATGTATGTAATATATGTATGCATTAAAAAAAATCCCTCCTGCCCCTGCGAGCGGTCTATCCTTCAAACTTGTGTCCTCTACCTGAGACCTGGGCTTGAGGGTCCTGCACAGTATCTTTGCTGTTCCCAGGACAAAGTTCTGTTGGCAGCATAATGTAGTTGTTTCTGTGCTCTTCTCCTTTTGTGCAATAAATATAAAAGTGTCCACATCTCTGCTCCTGAAAAACTGTCTCACTCCACCATTTTACTCCTCATGGCACATTTACTGAAATCAGCTATTATGTTGCTCTCTTTTTTTGCTTGTTTTCTCTTTTTTTTCTTAACAGGTGATCCGGGAGATTTTTTTCTTTTTAAGCACCCTTTCTCACTGTCCCTCTTCCCCTCTGTTTTTCTTTTCCTTCTTCTTTCTTTCTCCCTTTCCTATCCCCCAGCCATGTCTGTCCCGTCTATAACAACTGAAAATAAAATATAATAAAATAAATAAATAATAACAACAAAGGTCGATTAAATGGACCAATACGGCAAGGTCGTGATGATCCACTTGGTAAAGTAAATCCACTGGGTATCTTCGTTGGGCTTCAGACAACAATTCTGACGGCTAAGGAACCAAACGGAACAGGCAACAAAAAAAGAACAGAAATCAGCTGATTGTTGGAACTTAGCACAGGGAAAAAAACATGTTGGATGTTATATTTTTTCTATCCACCCAGCCTTCAGATAACTGAAGAACCTTTGCATGGCAAGTAATGGCATAATTGTAACTGTCATTTGATTACTGCATTTAATACAGTAACACATTATATTACTTCATTGCTGAAAAATGTAATGTGATAGTGTGTTATTTTGTACACCCAACATTGTTCAAGGCAGAGGGGCACACTCACGATGCATTAAGAAACTCCACGGTAACAGAACAAGGAATGTGATCTGTGCAGGACTAAGTTTTCCCCTTCTGTGTGTGCAGATGATATAATGCAGATGCTAAATCACTGTGCAACAACCGTATTCTTACTTGTTTGTATTCTCAGTTGTTCATTATTATATACAGTCCTGTAAATACTATATTTATTTTATTTATGTATTTATTTATTTTATTGTACATACATAGATCTCTCTCTTAAAAGTGCCCTCTTTTTCACTTGTACTGAACGGGTTTGCATACAATTTTCATTGTTTGAAAGCACAATTACAATAAAGATTCTGATAATATAAATGTATATTTTGCAACATGAGCAGTCCCATTCTTCTGCTGTCTGCCTTTATGGAGTCATTATTTCAAGTAAACACAGCATACCTTTTTTTAAATCCAGTAAGCAGATGTTCTTCTACATTATTAAACTGTATCACTGGAACTTTTTTAAAGGAAACATTTTATAAATGTTACAAAGTTACAAAGGGAAACATAACTGTAACTAATGATTTTATCTTTATTTATCAAATACCAGTCTAATGAATGTAAAATGTGGTGACATTTTTTGCAACAGTTATAATATATAACAATAACATACATTTAAAAAAAAATCTAAACATTTTGTCTTCAGTTTTATTTTTAAAAATCCTCAGAGGGATCTTTGTTATTGACATTATGCAAATAGCATTGATTCACCTCCTGTATCCTCTACTGATATGGATATCTAATATGCATATCTATATATGCTGAACTGAATTTTAGATTTGAACAGATGCTTTTGTAGGTTGTCCAGTTATTTCTGGTCTCTCACAAATACTTCTGTGAGCCATGTTGCAGGAAGCATCAAACCAACTGTTCAGATCAGAGGTTTCACCTTTTACCCCCATTCTTCCACAGTCCTCTCCATCAGGATAATCCCCTTTCCAATCATCTGGTTCGTCGTAGCCCCAATAAGTCAAACTAAAAAAAGAACAGAAAGAGGTGTTCAAGTGAAAACTGATAAGTTTGATGCTGTAAATGAACAAAAATATTCCCAATAATCAAACCTTTTGTCCAGTAGCGAGCCATCCACCCACAACCATCTACCCTCTTCTGCTGAGTCAGTCAGTCCAAACCAGAACTTATCCTGAGGATAATTCATTATGTCTTTCAGTCTTTGATCCAGGAATTTCTGAATAGGAAATTCAGATGAAAATTACCTTACAAGACTTCTAAATATGTGATAAAATAGACATAAGAACATAAACCTGCAACAGCTTCTTATACCTGCTCCTCCCTGCTGTCTATCTTAACCAGGTCTCCTCCTTTAGATCTACATTCACCTCTGCTCACAGTCCAGGATGATTTACTGACGGAGAAATAATAGCACTTTCCTCCATGGTGCTCCCAGCCTTCTCCACATTTAGAACATGGCTCATCTTTGAAGATGTTAGAGCACAAAATTTCATTTACTGTAGGTGGAAGAAAGAACTGTGCATGTTTGTGTGATTTAGACTACGTTCACACTGCAGGTCTTAATGCTCAATTCTGATTTTTTTTTTAACAAATCCGATTTTTTTGTTTGGTTGTTCACACTACAAATAAAATGTGACAGCAAACGCGCTCTAGTGTGAACCCTCAAAGCGGCCCGCATGCACACAAGAAGACGTCACACACAACACGCTCTGTTTAGACCCGGACCAAACAGTATTGTTTGACTGATGGCCTTAATACAAAGACTTGTTTCGGACTTTACGTTTCCCAATTTTCCTTTAAGTTATGAAGTTATTTTGTTATTTAGATGTGGCCTAATAATGATCCTTATTGGAGCAGTGCTTCAAAGGATAGTTGCAGATTTCTGTCAGAATCTGCAGATTATACAGTACAAATAAAATGTTCACGTTTCTCCAACGTTGTCTTCCCAACAGTTTCACTAACATCTACACTGGATGGCCAGGAAAGCGTTCTCGATGTCTTCTCAGGCGCTGATTGTTGCCGTCTGTCTTGTGTCAGTGACGCAAAAGACGGATTTAGTACGACATGACCATTTAAATAGCAGTTGCTTTCTAAAACATCTGATATGTATCGGATTCAGTACCACATACGAAAGTGTCGCATAGGGTCAAAAAAGTTGGATTTGATGCGCTTTCGCCTGCATTGTGAACGTAGCCTTAGATGTGACAGGAAATGATTTCTGTTCTGCGATTACAATCTAACTTCAGTCATCAATGCTAGGCTGGTTAGAACAGGTATGGACAGGGGTGGGCCTAGCCAACCCACTCAGGTAATTTTGCCCACCCAGTCTAATAAAAAGAAAAAAAAAATCTGTATTTAAAAAAACTGAAAAAAGTGATGAGCAGAAAGAAAAATTAGACAGAAAACACGAGTACTGTTTCTAAGATGTGGTTTGGTGTGCCTGGTTCAGCGTTTTCTACTACCCACTCTCTTTACATGAACAGAGGTGAAATCTGAGGTGAGATCGGAAAACAAGAGACCACCAATCTGAAGTGGTACTAACTCAGAACTCACAGGAAGAAGTAAATGCTGCACGCATGCACACACAC